AGACACTACCGTGTCTCCAGATATTACGAAAAATTCTGTTGTATTTTGTTAAAACAAAACATTAATATTAGAAAGTATATTATTGCTTTAACAGAATTTGCTTATTATTATAATTATTTTCATAATTATGAGAATATATTTTGTGTGTGCGTGCGTGTGTGTGCGCGCGTTAGTTTTGTTAAAATATTGAGCATATAAATCTGTAATCTTCCAATACAATTCGGCATCATTTCTGTTGTAATACTTATTTCGTGTTTTAATGTCGAATGAATAACATTTTTTGTTTATGGAAAAATCTTTCACAGTATAATTTTCTTGTATAAAAAATTCTATTCTCTAATTATGTGGACTTCGGATTCAAATTTTTATTCATTTCTGTTTAAATAAATCATTTTTCATTTTGGTTCAAATAAATATATATATAGTTATATTTAAAGATGAAATCCCATTATTTTGCAAAATCATTTTTATAAGCTTAACTAACTTTGAAGTGAATTTTCTGTTTGGGACAAGTTGCTAATTCAGATAAAGTTATAAGTTACTAATAAGAAGAGTTGAATCTCATTCAAAACTGGTTTTCTATTTAGATTAAAATAATAGGTTGCTAATCAAACTGAAATTTGCACAACTGTTCTAAAAGTTATTTCAAAAGAATTGAATAATATTCAAACTCGACAGTTTATTTCTTAAAATTTATACCTATAAAATATTTTTATAGGTTATAGTTTTATAGGCTCAAGAAGATTTTTCAAAATTTGTATTTAGTTTATGTTAAGTTTATATTATGATTTCTCGTACATCTTACGTTTACATACATCTTATGTTTATATTATAACTATATTTGTAATAAAAGAAAATTAATTTTGTTACTAATAAACTTATATAACTGGAAAGAAATACTTAATAATTTTTTTATTTAAGCATTTATTTCATTTATAGTATTAAAATATGTTACTATTTGCAAATATTTTGATTTATAATCTATAGAAGTATCATGTAACACATTGACTATATAATTCATTTGATCTTCGCTGAGTTCTAATTGAACAGTTAAGTTGGAATTTCTCTCTTCATGATGAGCAATAATCGCAATGTCTAAGTTGTCTATGCCAAAAGTATCAATAATTCTATTGTATAAATGAAATTGGTCCTGAAAAATTTCACGGACAGCGGTATGTTCACTATTGGCATTTTTTAGCATGCCAGACAACCAAAGTTGTCTAGAAGTTCTATTTCGTTCTGTTCTTAATTTATGGAAATTCCACGCTTGTGTAAAATTATCTAATTTTTATTTATATATGTCTGTTTTTACGCTGATTCTTATTTTTCTTTTTTTTTAATGACAACGTTATAATATATAAATGACACAAATATAATAAAAACACGGAACACGTCGAAATATAAGCTACTATTTATTTTAATAATTCGTACTTAACTTAACTAATTAATTTTAAGGTTAAAAAGACATGAACTATATATAAATGAAACTTTTAATCAGGTAACAAAAGTGAACGGATAATTCCCATTAGTAAGCAGCACAATCGCAGAAACGCCTGAGGTAATTCTATTGGTTAATTATTATTTTGTAATATAATGGAAATAATATCTTAATAATATCAATCAAAGGAGACCTTTTATGATCCAAGCATGATAAAACGGACTTCTAGCCGATATCATAAATATAACCAAAACGGACTGCTAGCCGTTTACATATCAACAAAATAAATCGAACTGCTAGTCGTTTAAAAAGAGGTTTACTTGTACGAGTTACCTGGTAAGCCATAAAATCGCATGCAATCTTTCGAATTAAAGCTCCTTTTCTTTTTAGTGCGAGCTTAATCATTAAGTTTCTAGTTGGCATCCTTCAATTCAACACCGGTGTTTAACTGCTTCAAGTTAGGCTTACAGCCTCAATTGGGCTATCAGCCCCTCACCCACGTGTTGAGTAATGTTCTTCTAGAGGCACTGCTAGGATATCAAAAAATTCCTCTTCCGTTTTTAGCTTTATCTAAAGAAGCGATAACAGGATAAGATGGCTGAAAAACAGCACCACCACGACGCACACGCCAACAAAATGGTCGGGCCTTCTTTCTCCTTCCAGGAAGGAAGCACACAGCGCCACTACTTGATCAGTTTGGTCGATGCCGCCGATCGGTTTGCTAGATCGACGGCATTACCGTCACGCACGTAATGTTACCAAAAAATGGTAACTTCTTTTATCTTTTGACTATCGTAATTTTTAATAATGTCAAATAAACTTGTTGTAACGCAAACATATGTTTTTCATTATTAATATCTAATAATCTATCTTCTTCCAATGCAGTAAATTCGTTATGAAAAAAGTCGACTACTTCTTTAAATACGTCTACCCATAACCTCTCTGTACGTTGATTATGCACTGAACGACCCGTTAAATGACTTCCTCTGTTTAGTCCACGAATGGCATTCATAACCATTGCAACAAATAGGTTTTCATATCCAAAATCTGATCTCACTCTGGATGGTAAGCCATATTGTACTACGGCAGTAGCGAAAAATGGAATAACTGTGCTGGCTGTCATTGAAGTAGTACACTTTAAATATATAATTAATCGTGAATATCCATCTATACATCCATGTAAAGTCATTAGATTAACAAAGTACCGTGATGAGAAAAACGGAAGTGACGTATCTTTGGAGCCAAAATGGCGTGGATGTTATAACCTATATGCGTTTGTGACATTGTGTAGATGAACTGGTTAGAAAACGTCGAAAATGCCCGGTTGCTGTATTGAGAATAGGGTCTTCCTCGAATATTTTCTTTTTATCTAAAACAATGCTTCTACCCGTAAAAACAAAAGTTACAATAACAAAAGTTACTAAAAATCAATCAATAATTTTTTTTAATAAGTTAAAAATCACGTATGTTTTGAACGCTCATTTATTCGCGCCATATCCTGCTGAATCGTGACGTCACACGCTATAAGCCAATCACACTTTCTTTTCGCTCCTCTGTTTTTTAATAATTTTTAATAATTTTTTGGCCGTAAATGAGTATTGCTAATATTGATAAATGGATCTTATGAACAATGCAGATAATTTAAATCTATAAATATAATTTTTTTATGACTAAATATTCACTATTTTATTAAAATAAGTTAGGTTAGGTCGGTGACAGCTGTTGTTGACAGTTGATTTAAAATTTACATAAACCGATGTGAAATGGCAGAAAATTTGCAGAAACGAGTAATGGCAGAGAAAAAAAGAAATTACAAGTGGTGTTTTGTGCCTTCATGCACTCAAAACAATATCTGTTCTCCATCAACAATTTTCCTGTCAGTGCCAAAAGGAGAGATTCGAAGAAAATGGTTCGAAATCTCAGGCCGAACTGATGCTTCAACTATATCGCTGACTAGTAGTTTGTTTTGTTGTGAACACCATTTCAATGTAAGTCATATACCTAAAATATAATAAATTAATCCTAAATAATTCAAAATAAATTGATTTTATGTTTGCAGTTAGAGGAGGATGTTGAAAATTACATGCAAGTCAGGTTCATTCCAAACGTACTCATTCGCTTAAAGAATGGAGTTATGCCGACAAAATTTGCTTGCCAGCCTCATCGAGAAACATCAGATGCAAGCAACATTAATGTTATTAATATTGGTATCATTCAAATAAAAATTAATATTATCGAATTACATTATATGTGAATATAATAAATAATGTAATACTTACAGATCGTCAGTAATACTTACAGCTGCACAGTCTTCGCATCGAACATATTCGACCTTGTCTATCTCTTCGTTAACAAGCATCGATACAGAGTAAGGTTTATTATTTACTCTATGTTCAGGACATATTTTCCCTCGGACTTGGCAGAAATTACCTTCACGTTTTACTTCAACGTATCCCACAGCTGCATCACCATAATCTTTATCTTCAGCCCTGTAAAATACAGATATTGATTGTGGAACTATATTAAACTTTTATATATATTGAATGTATGTAAAGTGTGTAAACACCTTTTAGCTTTAACACCTCTTGTCTCTGCCACGTTAAAAAATTCATTTTCACTAAAAAAGTCAGCAACCATTAAAACGTTTAATTTTGGTAAATTATCCGATTGAGCTTTAACAAAACCTGTAATATTTCTCGCCATGTTGTAACTGATTACTTAGGGTGCGTTCCGTTTCTTGCATGATGTGCATAATGCATCATTTATCCTTGTTTAACATTCGGTGAATAACAAGGATAAAAGATGCATTATGCGCATCATGCAAGAAACGGAACGCACCCTTAGTAATTCGCATGATCCGTTAAATATCACATTTGTTTTGTTTATATATCTTATGTATGTGTCATTTACATGAAGTATGTATTTACAACGTTTAAACTTACCGGGCTCTGCTGAATCGTGACGTCACGGCCAATCATATTGCGTTCACTCCCCACTCATTTTTTAAGCACTTTTAATCGTTTTTAATAAAAAATCCTATTATTAATATCACTTTAAATTACTTTTAAGTTAATAAAAAGCGTATAAAGTAATTAATTATAATTTTTTACACATTTCAATTTTTACAAATAAGACCCTATTGCTGTGCTCAGACCCAATACTATAATGTGGGGTCTACAATAAGCTGGTTCTGTCTGATTAGTCGCATCGCAGCATCGTAAGCGTGTCGCAATGGAGCCAAAATGGCGGCAGTTCACGATACTTTGTTAATCTAGTGACTTTACATCCATGAATAGCAAAACGCCATCTAAGAAAGGAATAAGATTTTAATTAAAAAATTATGGATGTTTTTGCAGGAAACACAGAAAGACACATGTAAAGGCTATCACACGTATAAAAGATATAGGATGTGTTCCTATTTGCTGATTTCCAGTATAGTATCCAGTAACCGCCATGTTGTATTACTGGGAAAGCGTTTTCTTTCTCTAGTAAAAAGATCCAATAAAATCATAACCTAAATTCGTACGTGCTTCAGAGAACCCGCGTTTTCTCGGGTTTATATATTTGTGAATTTTGGAATTAAACAGAGAGGTATTGTGTTTTTATATTTGTTTCAGTTTTGTTGTATTGTTTAATTACTTGATGTTGTTATTAATCGTTTTCATTGTTAATGGCTGATTTCTTGTAAATTATGAAAAATTTTTTGTTGGTTATTTTTATCTATTATTATTCTTTATTATTGTTGTTAGTATAATTTATTATTTTTCTATTATTTAATATTCATATATTTATAATTTTTTGTTTTCTAATGACATGTTCTATTTTTTTATTATATTCCTTTTTCTCTTCTTTCTTCAAATATTGTCTAAAGAGCAATAAACATTCGTATAAATTGTAATAAATAAATGAATAAGTAAAATAATTAAACATCATTTGACATCATTTTGTATATTATTTAATATATTATCACTATATTTATATTACGAACAAGAAGAAAATGGCAGCGACATCTCAGACAAGTGACGAACCAAGTACATCCAAAAAAATTTCAGTTTTTTTATGCAGACACAAATAAATTATATGAATGTTATTTATCCCCGGAGGATGCTCAACGGGTATCAATAGGTAACTTTTTTTTGTAATTTTATCTTTCCATTCAAGTATATATACAGAGATAGCGTACACCGAAAATTATTTTAAATTCTTGTCTGCATGTCTCAAATATTGTAATGTAATCCAAAAATGTTCATAGTTTATATTGAAAAATAAAATTTATACAATTTTATAGATATGGTATTTGCTCAACGCATTTTTAATAGATTGATTCATAATGCACGTACAGAAAATAGCAATAAAAACAATCCTCACTTCGAAGTTTTACTAGTACATGAAGCCATTCATGATGTTGTTAATGCAGGTATAAATTTAATTAATTTTTTATCAATATTAATCATATTCAATAGTTTCCATTTATGATGAATATATGAGAAAATTTTAAAATATATGATGTGTATCGATTGAAATTAAAGTAAATATCAGTTACTTAATGAACAGTTTAATTAAGAATTTATTTTGCATTAATGAAGTTTATGTGTTTTTATAGAATCATCGCAGGTCTTTGTTAGTGGTAGAGGAATGATTTGGACACATGAGCAAATATTGCTTTTAATAAATTTATATCGCCAAGAATATGCAAACATGAGCAGTGGCAAAATGCCTACGAAAGATGTGTCAACTGGTAGCTGAAGGAATGAAGAAAAAGGGTTATGACATTCTCGCGTGCAAATGTGCCACTAAAATGAAAGAATATCGTTATACACACACACTTTCAGTTGTTTAATAATAATATAAAAATATTATAAAAAAATTGTTTGCATCAAATAATTTACCCGCATGTATGAGTTTTTGAAAAATTTTAAAAATGATTAACAAACATGAATTTACACAATTTACAAGAAATCAGCCACTAACAATGAAAATGATTAATAACAACATCAACTAATTAAACAATATAACAAAACTGAAACAAATATAAAAACACAATAGGTCTATTCGCGTTGCTTGCACTTTTGACACTCGGCATCTTCGCTTTTTCTCTTTTCAAGGCCAAATATATATCTATCTCATTTTAAGTGCAAAAATATTTGGGGATTTCATGCAACGCGAACAGACCTCATACCTCTCTGTTTAATCGCAAAATTCACAAATATATAAACCCGAGAAAACGCGAGTTCTCTGAAGCACGTACGAATTTAGGTTATGATTTTACTGGATCTTTTTACTAGAGAAAGAAAACGCTTTCCCAGTAATACAACATGGCGGTTACTGGATACTATACTGGAAATCAACAAATGGGAACACACCCTTAGTCGTAATTGTAAGGCCGTAAGTAAATCGGCCAATCACGATCTAGCGTTTTTAAATGTGAGATCGTAATTTTAATTGTGATTGGTCGAGATTTGCTTAAGATCTTACGATTACTACTAAAATTTTTGTACGTGTGATGGCCTTAACACAGTGAATCATTTCATCTTTACTTCATTGATAAACAACGAAGATGGATTCACTGTTAAACTGTGTTACAATGTATTTCTTGTTGGAAAATGTCCTAAGTTATTAATACAAAATGCTTTAAATTTTCTTTATACCGAATCAATTTTAGGTTTGCATCAATATGTCATAAAGAATTGGGTGTTGGCACTGTATATGTTCTACGATGTATAGCATTATTCCATCTGCGAGCAGTACCAATAGAGTCAACTTCGGATAATATTCTTCTAACTTTTTGCCTTTGGACTGTTTTTCCTTTAGCTTTCAAATAAGCTGTTATCATCTATTCAAAATAATAAAATACTATTATAAAATTAATTCATTTTAAAGTGAGAAGTTGAAAACACAAACATACATTACTCCCACTATTAAGATATTGAGCATGTAAATCGGAGATTTCTCGATACAATTCTGTATCATTACCATTGTAATACTTATTCCGTATTTTAATGCCAAATGAATAATATTTTGAATACACTAATTTTGTAGAACAACCAAAATGTTTCGCCATTTCTTTTGCAGTATAATTTTCTTGTATTAGAAATTCTAACTGTTCTCTTGTTATGTGACATTTGGATCTTCCTCTACCTAGAAAACAAGTTTATATAAGAATGCTATATATTCTTTTACTTTCCTACATACTAACCTTACCTAAATTATTTAATCTCGGTGTAACATAAGATCTATTGTTACTATTGATAATATTTTGTTTAAGATTATCATCACATATTTGTTTTATTCTATCACAACTATTGTTTAGAGTATTGAATGTATCATTGCTAATCACGTTACGAATCCTTAGCAAATTCCTTTTACTATACTTTCAAAAATTATTTGTGTAACTACGAGAAATTCTTCATTTTCAATTAATCTGATAGATTCTAAAATTCTTCTCTCAACAACGGAAAGAACGTTGTTTAAATTTCTATTCATTTCTACTAAACAAATTAATATAAGTAAACTGTGCAAATGAAATGTGTATGGTGCAAAGAAGGTTATGAATAAAAATCCCGCCTTCTGTATTATAGACAGTGTAGCCAACTAGACTAGGGGCCACTTTCACCAAGCTCTCCTATTGGTACAGCGTGTCACCATTAGGCCGAAAACGCTATAAGTGTAACCAAGATGACTAGGGAATTTATTTATTGCGACACAGGTGTACCACATTTTCAGCAATACACGACTATTGCATAAAATAGACAATTGCATAAAATCGACAATTGCATAAAATCAATAATTTTTTCATTATAGCGATAACGTTAAAAAAAATGACGTTTCATAAAACAGATTATTACAATTAAATGACAATTGTGAAAAATAATGAATTTTTACAACACTCTGATGATTGTAAAAAATAAATTTTTTTTATAGAAAGCCATGAATTAATATGATTATGTCCACTTCTCGCAATAACATATACCTTGAAAGAGATATTGATTAAGTGCATTATTATTGATATTGTAAAAAAATTTTTAACGTTAAATTTTGAACAAATTGCGCTAAAACATTTTTGACTGTACCACACAAAATGCATTAAATAGGATATTTTGTAAAGGTAAATGTTATCATTTCTAAAATCATATAAATACAATCTTAAGTAAGAAATAACTGATTGAAGAAAATCTTTTCCACAGGATGTGATCATAATTTCTACTTTTGAGATTATTACATTATTAATAAATGGCAAAACGGCGTTCCATATGAGTATGATGTTTGAATATACACTCATTAGAAATATGTTAGAAGTTATTTGTGCTGAGATATTTATGCAGATACTTCCTATGTTTATTGTACGCAATATTAAAATTTCAC